GTGTGTGCGTGTGTGTGGTTGTGTGTGTGTGTGTGTGTGTTGGTTTGTTAATGGCAGTGAGACAGATGGGGGGGGGGGAGAGGAAGGTCCATCCTGCCTTCTTTTCCCTAGTAGTGGCGTAAATCAGCACTAATGAGGCAGAGGAGGAATACCTCGGTTTGCAACAGACTACAGACCGCTTTCCTGAGCAAGCACTCCAAAGCACACAGGTAGATGCTCGTTTAAGCAGTCTGCACACACACAACACCTTTATAACCTTCAGTGCTCTGCTGTGTTTTGGTTATTGACTTGTTGCTAACCCTCAGTCTCCTGTGCTTGCCACTCGCTGCATGTTCAATGTCATTCTGGAGGTGGGAGAACATTTGTAGAGAAAAGCTGGTAGGACAATTCACTGTGCCAGTTTAAGTGAACACATTTGGATGAATTTGCATTAAAAATAAAGATCTCATGCAAATATCTGACAATTCAGGATGTCGTCTGGCTTTAGGGATTGGCAGATTGCTAAAACAGAATAAAAACACATTCCTGGAGTGCACTGGACACTCTGAAACATTTATACCACGCATCTGATAGATCAACACAAAGCAGCGGATCATTGTGAACGAGAAGGACATCAATTTATAAGACATTTGAAAATAATTGACAAAATTCTGAAAACTGTTGAATTCAGACTCATTATTTCTGCTGCCCGTAAATAATATGCAGTGCAATTAATTGTCTTCAGATTATAAGTGTGTGTAGATTAATCTCAGTAAGAAGGCAGCTTTTCTGTGAAGACCTCAGAGATTTTGTTGGAGAACATTAAAGAACAAAAACAAGAAGACCAAGAACAGATCAGAAATAAAGCACAAAAAGTTGCAGAGACAGCCCAGCAATCAAATATCGAAAGAATATGGCGACTGCAAAGCTATTACGGCATCGCCGTCCATCTAAACTGAGAGGCCATGGAGGGAGGGCATTAATCAGAGAGAAGCCACTAGGACCGTGGTAACTTTGGAGGAACTGCAGAGATCCCGAGTTCAGACGGAACAATCTGTCGACAGGATAACTATTTGTTGTGCCCTCCACAAATCTGCTCTCCTTGGAATGGTTGGGAATAGAAGCCATTGCTGAAGGAAAGCAATAAGAAATCCAGTTTGCAAGTTTGCACAAGTCATGTTGCGGGCACGGCAAACATGTCTAAGAGGTGAGTTGGTCAGATGAGACGAGACAAAACAAGGTGTGTTGGCGAAAACTAAAACCTGACATCAACTCAAGTCTCAAACTGCATTCCTCCAGAGCCAGAGTCCTGCAACTTTTAGGTACATTCCTTGTCCGACACACTTGAAATAAATGGTGAAACTGCCTCTGTAGCATCCAGTCAAGCTTTAAAGAGCTAAGCTAATGTGCTAATGTTGGAGTCAGGTGTACTGAAGCAGAGAGACAAAAGTCAGGATTGGAGCTTGAGACCACTGTGTTAGAGGATCCAAATCATTTAAGGCTGAGGACAGTTTAGATTAAAACGTGTTAGAATTTTCTATCAATCAATCAAAATTTATTTTCATAGCACTTAACCAAACTACTTTCCATTAGAGTAATAAAAATACAGACTATAAAAAAAACATAAAAACATTGCAGTACTATGGTTGATAAATTATTGAATTGTGCAGTTACAGTAAATAAAAACAAAGGATTTTGACACCAAAATCCAGACTTAAATCCAGTCAATAATTTGTGAAAAGACTAGAAAAGAATAACACTTTTCATCCAGTCTGCCTGAGCTAGCTTGAGTTATTCAGTAAAGAAGGATGAGGGAAGGTATTCAGAGGTGGAAATCTGGCAGTGATATTCCCAAAAATATGTGCAGCTGTAAATGACGCAAAACGTGGTTCCAGAAAGACCGATAGACACGAATATATTTTTTTAAGGTTCTGTACATACAACTTATCCAGACTTATCCAAAAGTCACCTAGAACGTGGGACAATTCTCTCCTTTGGCTATTAATAATTAACAATTTGGTTGGAGGACAATCACTAACTGTGTTATATCTAAACTTTACTTTCTTATACTATGAACTTCCATTGCCGGTTTTTATGTCAACATTTACTATAAATATCAAACCATAAATATTCTCTCTTATTTTTTTGTCCGTTTTTGGATTTTCTAACTTTATTTCAAACTCCACACATCTAACTTCCCCAAAAGCCAGCTCCAATAAACTCAGCTTCACCTGGTACACCGGCACCCACCCAGCAACTCCTATGTCAGAGGGGTCCCCGAACCTGTCCAGTCCGTGAGAACGTCCCCACATGACAAGTACCACACAACGCAAACGTCAGGAAAAGCTCCAGAGATTTAAGAACATACCGCAGCATCCTCAACCCTGCTGGTGATTTGTTCCCATAAGAAAATATGTCAGTAATAGCTACACCTTCATGAATATGGACCAATCTGGAGGCTTTGTACTGTCTGCACAGCGACTTCAGTCAAGTGCCTCTCTCTTAGGAGATGACACGCTAGCCCGTCTGATGTTGGGTTTTTAGAAAGACATATAATGTCTCGACATCAAAGGAATGACGCAAATGTTGTGAAAGGGCTTTCTTTTGTGAGGCTTGTGAACCTCCTGTCAGGCATGGGTAAAATGTGCCTTTTAAAATGTTTGGGAGTGTAGATACGAAAAACAAAGTATTGCATCTTTTTCTATCACACTTTAAGCTCTTCGTGGCTTCTGTGCAAGAACTAAAATCCAATAAAGAAGAAAGACAATGATCCTGGAAGAGGCGCAATCACATGATTTCATGTAGAGGTGGAATTTACTGGGTGCATCTTAAAACTGCAGTGATGCAATCTGAGGAAAAACATTGGGTTATTTGTATGAAATAAGAAGCCAACAAATTTGTAGTTAGGCTCAGTTAAGTAGCCAATCAGAAAAGCAGTGCAACATCATTGTAATTTCCCTGTTTCCTATAATCTCGGTATCTTTCTTTATCTGTTGTTTTTCACTTCCAGACAGTTCAGAAGCAACCAGGAAAGGAGTGGGATTTTGACTCATGTTGGAGGAATTCTGTTTAATAAATTCAGTGCAGGTGGAGGACCTTTTTATGCTTAAAAGTTCATCAGGATGTGATTCATAAAGTTGAGGGAACGTAACGTTGACAGACTAAAGAGAAGGGCAAGTGAGTTCTTGTAAAGCAAAACTATGCACCCCTGGATTTACTTAAACAAATATCTAAGGCCTTCCGACTTGAATGTCCTTGCAGTGACATCAGCTAGTAACTAACTACTCAATTCTAGCAGATGCAATAAGCAAGTAAGCAGGTCCTTAATCCTAAAAAAACAAAAGCAATATAAGAAAACATATCAGAAGAGAGAGCTTGGCCTAGTAGTCAAAACAGATTTTCAGAATGTAACGGAGGAACCGTAACTAGCTGGTACGTAGTCAGTAAAGTCCGTGTTGACATCCAAGCACACAAACAGATGAAAAACCCAACAACTTACTTTTTGGTTTCAGCTCAAACTGGCGTGGTTCGTCGTGGTGCTCACACGGTGTTCCTGCCTCAGTTGTCATATCCATCCTAGCTCGTAATTTTCAGTGGCAAACATTTTCCCGGTTCAAATTTGTAAACAAAGCTATTTCCGGTCTAAAGCGCGTCTGGAAGGAGTCGCATGACGGCGTAATGACGTCATCAGGACGTATTAAGCGTTTTTCTATTAAATTGAGTATTGTATTTTTGGTCACTAGTTTATTTATTTTTAGGTTTTTTTCTCAGTGTTATTATTTTCTTTTGTACACTTTAATAAGAGTTTACTGGGGTATTTTTTGTTGTTTCGTCTTCCTGTGGGCGGAGCCTGTGTGGCTGCACCACAGGCAGGTCACGTTGAAGGTGATGGACTTTTGAGCTGTGAAGAAGGTACTGCTGTTTTTGTCTGTTTTTAATTTGCCTGGAAGGCTATTGTAAATATGCTACACAGCTTCTTCTTCTTCTTTTTTTTTCTTCTTTTTACCAGAAGATAAGCACAATAAACACCATCTGAAGTGAACTTGCAGCATAGGCCTACTATTTGTTTGTCCAAGTCGTAACAGAGCCCCGCTACACAGAACAATTATTTCTTTAGTGTGGTATGTTCGACCTGAAGGAAAAGTGCTTAAAAACATTGATGTAAAATGTTTCTTTGTTATTGGAACTAATAACATTTGCTCAACATTTAGTCTAAAGCAAATTGTTAAACAAACTCATAATAAGGGCTCTTCCACACTCACTTTACAAGGAGAGCTCAAGCTAATAGAGCTAAACACTCGTCTTTTCAAGAAAGTAATTTGTATGTGACAAACTTGAACAAGGTTAAAATCTAGAGTAACAGAAAGATGAGTGCAGATTTACCCAGCTCCAGAGTGATGCTCAACAGGGTATAAAGAGGAGGTGAAGGGGTGAATACACTTTATAGGCCTGTGGGGGTAGCATTATTGTTCAGTTGTTTATGGACAGTATGATGATATGGTATTACCTCAGTTGGTTAGGGCCAATATTGTGGTCTGCACAGTGGGATAGATGTTTGCACTGTTGTCTTGCAGGAGGAAAGACCTGGCTGGTATTCCAATCCAAGGCGACCATTAAAAAGCAATGGCTAAATCTGTCGACGCAGCATTAAGACATGGAGGTACTTCAGATGATACGGGGGCAGTAGTATGAGATGGAGTTGGTCAAAGGATGTAATTTGTTGTTACTTTTGGGACGTGTTGGAGACTCTTTGTGGTTGAAAGTACAACACTTTTGTAAGAAGACCTTTGAAACAACTCAGGAAGGATATCAATTACTGCTCATGCCGCACTAACTGTGTGCATCACTCAAAGTTAAATGTTGTCCAATAAAATATTAGAGCTGTGATTCTCACTACCTTTTGCCTGTATTAATAGTGTGGTAATTCAGCATGTTTCGCTGGAGTGCTGGGATAGCTCTGTGGATAATATTAGTACTCATCACGACAAAGACGGAAACAAGGAATGAAAGACAGAAATTTGAGAAAGAAAGAAAACCATTTGAGAAAGGTAGAAACAGAGAAAGACAAGAATAGAAATCTAGCATCTGTCATGCAGCTGGGAGTATTTCTAAGGGACGCCAGGAGAAAAAATGGAATTAAACACATCATGGGAGAGAAGGAGGGGGGCCGCTCGGAGAAAGCTGGGGAGGGGAGACGAACACAGGATCCAACATGGCTGGACTGGATTAAAATGGCTGGAGTTAAGGAACACTTTCTGTTTACACAGTCATAATGGCCTGTTTGAACTTTCCTGTCAGACAGGACTCATTTTGCTGCCATGATTAACTTTGGTTCTTAACCAGACTTGCATGCTGACCTTTTCACGCTAAGCCTCTTTTTATGACAACGACGTAGGCAATTTGCACCTTGAATAAAGTTTTATCAAGCGCTAAATTTACAGCATTTCAGAATCCGTACAAACGAGACGTGTCGTTGATGACTGCAAACCCCTCTGCCTGAAAACAGCTGCAAGTGGCAGCAAAAAATAGGACCACACACACCACTGACGCACGGTGGGAGTGAAACCCCGGCACCGAGCCTCGGCTGAGCCTCACTCCCGCCGACCCTGACGGTAATCAGGAGGAGAAGTGAGTGCTGAGGAAGTGTCAACAGAAACAAACCCAGGGCTTCGTTTGGGCCGGATTGAACTGATAGCTCATTGTTGGTGACATAATTTAGATGAATGGTGGGTGGAATCCATCAGTGGAGTATGGCTGGTGAGGGCGAGGAAACGAGGAGGGGTGCGACCCGCTCTGTGTGTGCCTGCCAGTGTAGGTATCCTGTTACCGTACACCTGTTAACAACGCCAATTCGCTTGTATAAACAGTAAAGTGATCCTTTTATCGAAGCCAGGGGGGCAGAGAAGAGACAAAAAACGAGTGTAGAGGAAAGAGGATAGAAAAGATGAAGCAGGGAGGATTAAAGAAATGTTTTCTTGTTTGATTTTAAGAAAGACAAGCAGCTCTGGACATGATGGATGAACCCGAGGTCTGGAGAGACAAGTCATGGACAGATGACTCAGATACACACTCCAGTACCGAAAGTGAAGCTTCTAGACTAAAGCAACAGGGACATCTAGTGGCGAAACATCTCACTGCACCCCAACTCCGAGCTCCAGCTGAAGGCCAAACCTTTACTCTTGTAAGTCAGTCATAGTTACCATGATTATTTCTATTTAATAAATGACAGAATAACAAGTGATAGATTTTGTAAAGACGTTCTTATTACTTTCTTATACTCAGAGGATTAGATACATTAGGGTTACAGTGAATTTAATCAAGTTGGGAAAGCCCATATGGTGAAGCTATCGCTTTGTGAGCTTCTGATAGGTTCATCATTTAGGTTTGATAGAGACAGACCGGTGGATGTGTTTTAAGGCAACACATCACACATAAGGAGAATTGTGAACCTCCACAAGTTTGGTGTGTTCATTTTTCGGATGCTTGACGACTCCATGTTGATCTGCTCAAACGTGTGCGTATGTAAACAGCATGAGAATGTGCAGCCGTCGTACTGTCCAGGAAGAAGACTGGTTCTGAGTCCAAGAGATGGATGTGTGAATCAAGTGAAGACCTAGTGAAGTTACTGATTGAGGTTGGAAGAGTGAGAGTGTTAATAATCCAAAGTGAAACGACTTCTGCATCAACAAAGACTGACTTATGAGCAGAGCTGAAAAAGATGTGTGAGAGAGCAAAGCAGTCTGCAAACCAGGCTCAGTTACAGTCAGGAAAAATGAGCCAAAATTCCAGCAAATTGTGGTGCAAATCTAAACCACTTAAGGTAATTCCAAGTTAGGGTTGATATGTGATTAAATGCTTTAGATGTGGACAAGACAGAGTTTAAAAAAAAAAAATCCCTAATTTTATTTTAAATCATTTTTAGTTGTAAAGTAGGGCAACCAGCTTCTCTACAATAGCTATAAAACAAGTGTTAAGTGTTTGGAGGGTAAGGTTGCAATGTTTGTTGACAAGCAAGTCTTTAACTTCATTTTTCTGGGGGGTTCATAGATGAAAAGACGTGTGGGGTTTTAGGATGGCTCTGCACAGCAGAACAAAACATTGTGTAATGATGGACAAGAAAGATATGACCCACTGCATTAGCTGAGCTGTTTATGCTAAATAGAGAGAGAAACACAAAGCGAGCTTGCTAACCAGAGCTTTTACAAGTCTGCAGCACCACCAAACTGAAGGAAGGATTTAAGCAGCAAAATTGTTCTAATATTTGCCTTATGTTTTAAATCTGTGTTCAAGGAATCAGGGAAACTGTTTTCACTAGCAAAACTTACTGGCCAACTTTTGTTTTGAGTGTTTCAGCGTCAGGGAGCACATTCAGTTTTTCTAATAGTTTTAGTTTTACTGAAATTTGCTCAAGAACTTTTTTGTATTATTTTTCTGTTTCCACCACGGTAATGACACTGCGCATAGTCCCGTTTTTTTCTCTCCCTGTTCCATTGTACAGAGTCACTTTCTCTAAATGGCAGAAGCGAGGCGCCAACCAGCCATATTTATCCTGAGAGGAAGTTCCTCGCGTCCTCCTTGCCTCTCTGTCTCCCCCTCTCTTCGCCATCACATTGTGTCGGCAGCGTGTCACGTCTGCCTGGCAATTATTATGAAATTAAAGCTATTTTCCACGGCCGCTGTTTGCCCCGTTAATAACCGCACCGAGATAGGCCTCCGTTCATTTAGCATTTTAGTTCAGCTCAATTCCTGTCGCATTAGCAATAGGAGCAAAATCAGAGTGTCACTCAGATATTCTGCTTAATGGTTTGGCAATGGCTTGGCCTTTTTTCCAACCCCTCTCCCTTTCCTTTTTGCCATCCTCCTAACCCTATCTCTCCACCAATTACGCTGTTTAATCTATATGTAGATAATGGTGTCCGGGACCTCCCTGTTGAAATGTCAGGTGTGAAGAGGTCATTAGCTAACTTTTAATTACTGTCCATCACTCAACAGCCAGCGGAGCTGATTGGCTCTCTCAGTCCGCCTGCTTATCTGAACGTTTGGCTGATGTCGCCGAGAAAGAGGAAGACATTTAAGAAGTAGCAGCTCCCTGACTTTCTATCGCTATTTCTATTCTATTAACTGAAGTAAGTGTTTAGAAGGAAGACAAAGCAGGAAGGGGAGGAAATAGTGTTAAATAGTTTAATGGTTAAACGGCACGAGGAACAATACAGCGAATAAACACATGGTGCAACAAGAGTAAAAGTAACTATAACCCTAACGTGGAGTAGAGAAATAAACATTGCCTCCCAAAAAAACTGCTGGAATCACATTTTGTGTTACTGCAGTGCAGACAAGAGTTTAAATGTTTTGACCTTATTAAGACTGTAGTTGCATTGTTCATAGAGATAAGCTAGATTTTAATCTCTTTCAAATGCTTTACGGGTCTGCAAAGAGTTTCCTTGAAACCCCCCTGCTGCGATGCTAAGCTCTTTATGTGCATTTAAAGACCCTCAACCTTTGACCCAAAGTTTACAGCTCAACTCTCCCAGTCCTGCTCTGTGATACATTTGCTGGGCTGCAGCATTATAGAGATGTGATCTCATGTGTTTGCCAGGCCACAACTCAATGAAGTGTCAGTCAGACTGAACATGTCTGCATGAAACATTCAGTGTTTTCTGTCTGTTTTCTAAAAGACACACTATAGTTATATTTTTTTTGTGGGATTGACGGCTAAGTCACACCATCATTAAATGCAAGGATCTTCTTTATTTTTTATGAAGTAGGCCTAGAAAGTAATAATGATTATTAAATGTACTCACCCCTTGATCCTTTTTTACTTTACAACAAAAAATAAATAAAATTTTAGTGGAGTTAGTGCATTAAATTGGTGCATAACTGTGAAAGGGGAGGAGAATTGTGTTTTTCAAAAGCCTACAAATTAAGAGCTAAAGTCTGACCTGTATTTGCATTCAGTTCCCTTCACTCATTTACCCCAAAATAAATACATTGGCTTCCAGCTGTCATGAGAAAAATACAGTGCAATTCAGTCTCAGTTTAAATACAGCATTCCTTAGAAATCTTTGCATCTGCTTAGAAAACAAAATGCATGAAAAAAAAAGTCCTGTTTTCAGTTCACCTGCAAGCAATGTGGAGCAAACAGTCAAGAAATATGTGGGAGCAGGTGCTCTGATCTGAGGTGACTGTAGTGGTGGCAGCCTTACGCTGCTCTTCTCGACAATAAACAATGAAGCTGGTCAGATGTGATGGGAAGAAGCATGGAAGTAAATCCAGGAAAATCCACAAAAACATAAAAAAAAACCTTGAGCCTGGGCTGGAGATGGAAATTGATGAGATGCAAAAAGACGTATGCTTTTAAAAATACTTTTGACAACAGCGGCTCTAAACGTGCAGTTAAGAATAGAAAGCCTTTGCACAATAATAACCTGATTCCTGTGCCTTTATTTGAACTTTACAAGCTGAGAAACACTCAGAATCACTCAGACACACACACCAGCACGCGCTTACAGAGAAAACCAATCTGTGTTTGAACTGTCTTTGAGCTGATTTACTATTTAAAACTCAGTGGGGCCAAAGCACCTCTGATTACAGCACCTCTGAGAAAAAAAAGTACTTCCTAAACTCACTTTTTCTTCTTTTGCTTCCTACCCAGATAGCACATGATGTTAAATCAAAGTTGAAAAATAGTTAGAATCGTTGATTTTTGGTTGAAGTCGAC